CCAACGAAAAGTACGCCGACGGACGTGTCTAACAATTCCGTTTCAAACAGGAAATCGGAAGGAGATAACAGATGCGTTGAAGAAGCCATTGACTATGCTCGTGCCAAGCAACGCAGCATTTGTCAAGGGAAACCTGACTCATTATAACAGCATCAAAATTGCGACTCTTGTCTCATTCCACGCTCTTAAAGGCGTTTTGACTGATCTCCAGCTTCAAATGCTGAAGCCAGGAACTCAAATTCCCACCATGGCAACAGATGCGAAGACCAAGAAGCCGTTAATGCTTGTCAAGCTTTCAAAAGCCAGTACGACGAGCAGAGTTATTCTTCAGGGAAAGCGAGGCCCTACGAAAAGCACACTGATGATCGTCAAAGGTGATTTCTACGTGAAACCAGGGGAACTGGCGGTTCATACCACTGACGCCATTGCTCTCCCAACTGGATTCTAGTGGAAGAACTCGAAAGCTACTGAAGACCCTCCCAACCGGGACGGAGTGGAAGTTGAATGCATAAGCCAAGTGGCAAGATGAAAGGACTGTTGGTGACTAACCTCGGAACTTGCTTCTCTTCTCTGATAAGGATTGAGGGAACGATCGGATACTACATGCAATTTACTGTGACATGACATCCATGCTTGCGCCTGAAAATAAATGAATCCACTATTATTTCGTGCCCCACACCATACACCTGAATAGGTGTACAACTTAGAATAAGCAACACTACTCAAAAAGGGTGAGGGTTTCTGGCATTTTCTCTACATCAGTCGACCCACCAGAAACCTCTGCCCTGGCCGGGCTAATTGCTGCAGCCATAAGGCTCCCTCCATCAGCATCTCCTTGCAACGGGGTTGCCTTCCCAAGAGGCGTGCTCAAGCCAGGCTGGTTCCCATTAGAAGCACCTCCATCTGTCACTGCATGATCTTCACTCAGCGTTGCACCAGCAATTTGAGAAGGAGCAGCCACATCCATTGGATCTCTTGCAGATCCTCCACCTGAAGCCTTCGAATCTCCTGCGGCATGTACATCACCAACGGTTGGATTTTCTGGTGCCTGTGCAGCCACAATGGTCGGATCTCCAGATGTGGTCTGTGCAGCTGCCAGCATGGCTTCCTCCCTTACAATCACACTCGCAGGCGACTCGGGGAGCCCAGCCCACAGAAACCCCCTTGGAGAGGAGGTGGGGAAGAGAGGCGAATTGCAGGAGGAGAATACGAAGAATGGGGATGGTTGTGGGTACGGGACCAGAGGGGAGACGAGAGGTCGGGAGAAAAGGCCTGGTGTGTGCTTTGGGCTCGGACCAAGAACACCAGCAGAAGGTGCATTAGCACCAGCACCACTAGCCGCAGCAGCAGCGGCGGCGGCTGTAGTGGTGGCAGCAGCAGAAGCAGGGCCAGAAGGTAACAAGGGAGGGGAGGGAGGGGTTGAACTGGAGGGGGAGGAAGAGGAGGAGGGGATGAGAGGAGGTTGGGAGGAAGTGAGAGGGCGGATTGGGGGAGGCGCTAGAGATTGCAGACGAGTGACTTGGCGAGGCCTGGGGGGGCGAGGCTTGCGGGGAAGCATGGAGGAGAGAAGGTGGGAGGAGGGGAGGAGAGGAGGCTTGCTGGTTGAGTAGGGGAGATGTGGAGGGACACTGGGTCGAGGCAAGAGGGGAGGAAGGGCAGAAGGGGGATGTTGCTGCTGCTGTTTTTGCTGTTGCTGCTGCTGTTGCTGCTGCTGCTGCTCTTGCTGTTGCTGCTCTTCCTGTTCTCGCTCCTGCTGCTTCTCCCCCTGTGCCTGGTGCCCATCTCGCTCTAGTGCTCCTAATGAGAACACTTCCTCAGCATTCTGCTGGATTTCCTGCTCCGGCTGCTGCGCCTGCTGCTGCACCTGTTCCTCCCCCCCTTGTGCCTGCCGACCATCTCGCTCTAGTGCTCCTAGTGCAAACACTTCCTCAACATTCTGCTGCGTTTGCTGCTCCGGCTGCTGCGCCTGCTGCTGCAGGAGCTGCTGCTCTCCCTGTGCCTGCTGCCCATCTCGCTTTAGAGCTCCTAGTGCAAGCACTTCCTCAACATTCTGCTGCATTTTCTCAAACTGCTGCTGGGCCTGCTGCTGCACCTGCTGCTGCTCTCCCTGTGCCTGCTGTCCATCTCGCTCTAGTGCCTCTAAGGATAACAACTTCTCAACATTCTGCTGCGCTTGCTGCGCCAGCTGCTGCTGTTGCTCTAACTGCTGCTGCTGCTGTTGCTGCTGTTGCTCCAACTGCTGCTGCAGCTGTTGATGCTGCTGTTGCTGCTGTTGCTCCAACTGCTGCTGCAGCTGTTGCTGCTGCTGTTGCTCCAACTGCTGCTGCTGCTGCTGCTGCTGTTGCTCGAACTGCTGCTGCAGCTGCTGCTGCTGCCGGTGTTGCTCCAACTGCTGCTGCTCGTCCACCCGCATCCGCTTTTGCGGCGCCTCAAAGAGAAGCTGCTGCCCGTCTGCTTGCATCGTTCGCTCATCAACCCACATCCGCTTCCGAGGCGCCTCAAACGGAAGCTGCTGCTGCTGCTGCTGCTGCTGCTGTTGCTGCTGCTCTCCCGCCGCTTTTCTGCGACTAACGGCTTGTGACAATAGCGAAATGATGCCAGGATTCAGCTGGAGGCACATTGCCAGCCTCGAGCTTGCCACACCTCCTGTGCTTTCAGTTACTGCACTTCCCTTTCCTAAAGTTTCAGTTACTGTACTTTCTATTTCGACTTGTCCTGTTACTGTATCTCCTGCTCCTAGAAACCCTGTTTTGGTATTTCCCGATACAAAAGTTTCTAAAACTGTCGTTCCCGTATCAGCGTTCCCTACGATTGCTTGACGCATCAGTGCATCAAAATCGCCGTCTGCAAGGCCTTCATTTGCTGTATCTCCGCTGCTAGCAACCTCGGTAAAAGCAGCTGCGATGCTAGCATCTCCCATATTAGCAGCTTCAATATCAGCGCTCACATCATTCGCAGCTCTGGTACTAGAAGCTCCAATATTAGCAGCCCCGATATGAGCAGCTTCTATGTTTAATGCAGGCTGCTGTTGCAACGGCTGGTGTTCATCTGTGGCTTCTAAAGCTTCGCATGGAGAAGTTACCAGCTGCTGATTTCCGCTTGAGTTCGTCGCCCGAAGTTGCTGACGCTGCAGAACCTGCTGCTGCTGCGACGACTGTTGTTGTCGTTGTTCATGCCTCTGCTGCAACTGCTGCTGCCATTGCACCTGCAGCGGAAGGGCCGCCGCTGCTGCCCCCTTCAGGTTTTGAGCCGACTCGGAAGCCTTCTTTTGTGTCTGCTGCTGTTGCCCCTGCCTCTGCTGCTGCTGCTGCTGCTGCTGCTGCCATTGCACCTGGAGCGGAAGCACCCCACCGCCTCCGACTTGCGCCGCTCCGCCAGACGCCCCTCCTCCTCGCGACCTTCCGCCGACAGGCTCGACTCCCCCTCCGCTTGCCCTTTCCCCCGATTCTCCGCCCTTTCTGCGCGCCTTTCCCCCAGGCCCGCGCGCGGGTCCCCCATCCGCATCATCTGGGGCTGCGCCTGTGAGCTCTTGAACCAGCGACCGGAAATTCGCCACATCCGTTTGAATTACCTTCGCTTCGGGAACAACCGCTTTGGTTTGTTTCTTCCCAACCCCCTTGCCTATTCTCTTGGAGTTCTTATCTACACCGAGTCCTGCTGGATTAGGCGGTGCCATAACGGGAAGTAAAAATTCCGGTCTGCCCTAAAAAACGTATATGTAGAGGGGAAAATAAGGACGTTATGCGCTAGGGAGGAAGTGGAGAATAGTTTAGAATGGCGAAGGCATCGGATTGCACGAGAACAGGGTGGGTAGGCTCTGTACCCAAGAAAATTCGGCCTATTCGCTTGGCAAATGATACTGGAGAATGTGTAGCAAGAATGTTGCACATATATATTGTTACTGGAAACGTATGACTATTAATGTACCTTAGAATACAGATGGCACGCGACCGGTGGTCTGCACGCTGTGGACTGTACGGCGTGTTTCGCGGCGGGAAACGCAGTAGAGAGCAGCTGTGTAACAACCGAAACTCAGCGCTGCGTCTAATTAGTTTACTACGGACGTGCTACAATTTGTAGTAGAGCGATCGAGTTACCAGAGGCGTCGTAAAACAAAAGCGCATATTTCCACACTTTTCTAGGCGCGTCTGGAAACGCGTTTCAATGCAGTGGGCCCATTACGTTTTGACTCGACTAAAGCAAGGCAGCCATGGGAGAGGAGGAGACTCGCAGTGTAATGTACCCCTTTTCCCTCTTTCGTGCGGATCAGGGAAGACTCGCGCAAGCATGAATTTGCTGCAGGGCGGAAAGGTGGATGGCGGAACGGGGAAAACCGAAGCGGAAGGGCGAATGTCGGAAGGGGAATGGAGAGAGAAGAGAGGGCCGAGGCGGAAGGGGGAAAGAGGGTGCAGTGTAGAAAGTTGAAAGGCGGAGGGCGAAGGGGGAGGGTGGAAGGCGAAACAGCCCAAATAGTCAACCCCTGGTTCGCTGCGGTAACTAGTAAATCGGCACATTTCAGTACCGAGCAGTACGATTTCCTCGACAGGCCACCGCAGGGTGGACGCGCGATTTCGTGAGCATTGACCCCGCCAGCCTGGTTCTTGCCTGTGTGCGCCAAGGCAGCTGGACGCAGGGTGACTGTCAGCGGACCCCTCGATGTGGTATCGTCTGGTCTGGGGATACCGGGTACAATCGACAGGGTACAAGCATCCCCGGTAGAACGAGTCTAAATCTGAACAAAAATTAATGTACGCGCTACACATTTCAGTTTATGAAATAATGTTCCCACATCTCAATTTGCTCACTGATTGGCTCATTAGATGCTTGGCCTGCACCAAATGAGTGTTCAATTAACGACAACAGTAGGTTATAAACCCCAGTTGCAACCAAGCCAAAAGCTCTACAATCAACAGGAGCACTCACTTGTGTTGGATGCTCCTTTTTCAGCAGAATTGTTGTTACTTAATTTCATACGACGACTGCAGTAGCATATAAGCTAATTAAGCCAAATGCTCGATAATCAACTGGTGTCCCTCACTAATGGGCTCCTTAGTGCGAACTGCCTGGGCCAACATAGGCATGTCCGTGGAAGCATCCAGGAAGTTGCTGAGGTAGAGCAGCAGGTGAAAGTCTGCAAGGCGGTCGGCCCATGGCTTGGAGCGGGTGCGATCCAAATGCTGCTTCAGGTCGTTCTGAGTGGGAAGAATCACCCTGTTCTCCACTGGGAAGGATGTTGTGAGAGGGCCCTGGGGGGAGCAAACAGGGAGGGGAATAGTAACACCAACATCGGTAAATGCTGCTTCAGGTCGTTCTGAGTGGGAAGAATCACCCTGTTCTCCACAGGGAAGGACGTTGTCAGAGGGCCCTGCAGGGAGCAAGCAGTGAGACTGAAAGAATGAATGGTAGGGAATGGTTTCCCGTTCCTGTATCTCATGCACAATCCCGCATTGCTTGATGCTAAGCAGCGAACAGCGAACAATCCATATCAAGCACACGTCTCACCTCGTGGTCGACACGACAATCTTCACAAGCATGAGAGAGAAGTCAATATCCACCTCGTACGTGTCCCTCCCAGCCACCAGCACCACCAGCACCACCACCACCATTGCCTCTCCTCGAACTCATGTGTACCTAATGCTGTACACCAAGCACTCCATATCGAGTACAACCCTTACCTGGTGGTCAACAATCTTAATCGGCATGAGGAAGAAGTCGTTATCCACCTCCTTTGTGTCCCTCCCAGCCACCACCACTTCTTTCCTCATTCTAGACACCTTCGGATCAACCTCCTTCTCCTCCTCCTTCTCCCCCTTCTCCCCACTCTTCCCTTTCTCCTTCTCCCCAACCTTCCCCTTCCCCTTGTCCCTCCCCCCGCCTCCCCCCCCCTCCTCCTCTTCCCCCTTCCCATCCCCTGCAAACCATCCTTCCCGGTACAGCTTCAGGCACTGATCGCTTAGTTGAAAGGCCTCAAAATGCACGTCCCCGCCCCCATCCCCCTCCTCATCCACTAAAAGTTTCACCAGCACGATCGCGAAGTACTTAAACGGCTCCCCTCCCTCCTCCTCTCCTTTCTTCTCTCCTCCTTCCCCTCCTGCCGCCCCATCCCCGTTCCCCCTCCCCCCTGCCTGCGCACCAGCATCCGCTGTCCCCCCAGCACTCGCCTCCCCCTCCCCGCCCCCCTTTCCCCCGCTGCTATCCCTAGCAGTGGCGCAATGAAGCCTAGCTGAAAGCAGGAGGTCGGAAGCAGATAGAGTGAAGGAGTGCTCCTGTGCCTGTTGATCCTCTGCGAGGGTTTGAGTCACGATGAAGCCCACACAGCGCATGCCCAACCCCGCTGCTATCGCCGCCACTGCCCTCTCTTCAGCTGGAGGGAGTGTCAGAGAGGGGTGAAAGAGGGAGCAAGGGAGGGAGGAAAAGAGAGAGGCAGGGGCGTGGGTTTGAGTCATGATGAAGCACACACAGCGCATGCCCAACCCCGCTGCTATCGCCTCCACTGCCCTCTCCTCCGCTGCAAATGTGGGGAAAAGGGGGACACGGGATCGAGTGAGGCAGTAAGGCAGTGAGGGAGTGAGGAAGGGAACGAGTGAGGGAGTGAGTGATTGAGTGGGTGAGTGAGTGAGGGAGGGAGGGAGGGAGGGAGGGAGGGAGGGCATGGGAGGGAGAGAGAGTGAAGGGGTGTTCCTGTGCTTGTTGGTCCTGTGCGAGGGTTTGAGTCACGATGAAGCCCACACAGCGCATGCCCAACCCCGCTGCTATCGCCGCCACTGCCCTCTCCTCCGCTGCAGGGAGCGAGGGAGCGAGTGAGGGAGCGAGTGAGGGAGCGAGTGGGGGAGTAAAAGCAGGAGCGAGGGAGTGAGGGACCCAGTGAGTGAGAGAGTGGAGGAGTGAGTTGCACAGGCCTGCTCCCACCTTGGTTTGGGAAGATCTACAGGGTGTGCTCTGTGCCGTGCTGGGGCAGCTTGTAGATGAAATCCACCAGCACGTGCCCATCCTCCGTTGCTTGTGAACCTGTGTACATGTGAGTTTGCTCCCACCTTCATTCGGGAAGATCTGCAGGGTGTGCTCTGTGCCGTGCTGTGGAGCTCATAGATGAAATCCACCAGCACGTGCCCATCCTCCCTTAGACGTGCGTATGTGCCTCCTTCACTTGATAAGATCTGCAGGGTGTGCTCTGTGCCGTGCTGAGGCGGCTCGTAAATGAAATCCACCAGCACGTGCCCATCCTCCCGCACCTCCCAGGGTTGACGCGGCAGCATGTGAGTGTGAATGAACGTATGAACTACCTATGTGAGAGTTAGCCTACTCCCACCTTCGTTTTGGAAGATCTGCAGGGTGTGCTCTGTGCCGTGCTGCGGCGGCTCGAATCTGAAATTGCCCAGCACGTGCCCATCCTCCCTTCCCTTAGACGTGCGTATGTGCCGAATCCCACCTTCATTTGAAAAGATCTGCAGCGTGTGCTCTGTGCCGTGCTGCGGCGGCTCGTAGATGAAATCCACCAGCACGTGCCCATCCTCCCGCACCTCCCCGAACAGGAAGCCGCCCCGCTTGATGGAGAAGGCCAGGCTGTCATGCACGTAGTGCTGGGAGAGTGAAGGGCGGGATAGGTGTAGGAAAATACTCGTTATAGAGCAAATCATCAAACAAGAACCCCCCTGGTCTGAGTCCTCAAGGACCTCCCCATACAGGAAGCCGCCTCTCTTGATGGAGAATGCCAGGCTGTCGTGCACGTAGTGCTGGGAGTTGGGTGAGAGGGGGGATGGGGTACGGGAGGGAGTGTTGTCCCCGTTATAGAGCACCTCGTTGTACATAGACTTCCCTAGTCTGAGTCCTGCCGCACCTCCCTGTTCAGGAAGCCGCCTCGCTTGATGGAAAACGCCAGGCTGTCATGCCCGTAGTGCTGCGAGTGTGAGGAGGGACGTGAGGGAGGGAGATTTATGGGAGAAAGTGTTGTCCTCGTTACAGAGCACCTCGTTATACACAAGCCCTTGTCTGAGCCCTCCCTCACTTCCCCGTAAAGGAAGCTGCCTTGCTTGATGGAGAACGCCAGGCTGTCATGCACGTAGTGCTGGGAATGTTAAGGGAGAGTGGAGTTTGCGATATGGGAGGGAGGGTATGTATGAGCGTATGCCTTCTTCCTTTAAGTGAGTTCTCCCGCACCTCCCCATACAGGAAGCCGCCTTGCTTGAGAACGCCAGGCTGTCATGCACGTAGTGCTGGGAGAGTGAAAAGGGGTGTGTGTAAGGGAGGGAGTGGGCATACGAGGAAGGGGGTATGCGACGGAGTACTGTAAGCGTTACAGAGTAACCTGTGTGGCGAAAGAATGGAGCCTGGGACGGGGGGAGAAGGGAACGTGGAGCGAGCCTGAATCACAGCAATCCGGATAGTCAGCAATCCTGATTCCTAGGAGAATACTTTGTGCGACAGGAACCTCACCTGAAACACGTTCGCAGCGTCGCGATCGAACGACACTTGCTGGCAGTGCGACGTCTCCTGTCGCTCGATTCGCATCTGTCGCGCGACCATGTCGCTCACGGTCATGTGTCGGCCGAACGATCCTGCGGGAACGACAGGCACCGGCGGCCCTGCGACAGTTCGCGAAGCACTGTATTTCGCGAACACTATGCTCCCGTGGCCTATAGCTAGGGAATCTAGCGACGCGGAAGGATCCGCTAAGTCTTTAAACTTCTCCGGGTCGGCTGATAGGAGAAGGGATTGGTCCGTAGAGAGGATCAGATCGGCCAATGGGATCGCGAGCTGCTGCGAGATTTGCGCGCGGAGGCCGGAAACGGTGGCCTCTGATTCGTCCAGCTGGACTCGCTCCAGCCCGTCGCGGCTCCGTACGCGTAAGGTGATTCGTTTTCCCGCCATAACGTAGATAAAGAAAACGACTCAATAAGAATCTACCGAGGTATACTTAAGCAGGAGATGGTATTACGAGTAAGGCAATCCAGGAGGTTTTGAGATGAGCAGACCAACCAGCCAACCCCGAAACTGGCTTGCTCTCAGATGTGAATTCGAGGACGGGAGACGAAGAAACGCGAGAAAGAGTGGCAGGAGACTTGAATTCGGGCGAAACCACTAAGGGAGATGCTGTCAAATCTGGTGCGAGACGATACGCAACCGAAAAGGCGGAACCTGAGGTCCTCGGAATGTGGAAGCTAGCAGGCTTCTGAAATTAGAGCCATGGGTGGTGAAGTGTGGTGGTGATGTTTTACACACACAATGAATCCCGCATTCATCCATGGCAGGGAAACAGATGCCAGAGAGGAGGAATGTATTGACGAGGATTTCTCAACTCGATACAACAACAAGCAGATTGGTGCACTGGCCCGCCAGAGCTACAATCTAGCGAGTGTTTATGATTCCAATGATGCACAGCTGCAGATTAGAAGTGCACCACGATTGCTTGGAATGACTAGGTACATACTACCTGTCAAAGACCTTAATCAGCAACTGAAGTTTACAGGGATATTAAAAGCCATAAAAAAGTATCACCACATTCATAAGTACGGTATTATTGCTTCCGCAGCTGCGGCAAATGCAGCTACTTCCTTCTAAAGCCAGCATTAGAAGGTACCGTATCGGAACTCATGAAATTTTATGGCTCACTTCCAATATCGCCTCTCGTCCTAAGTGCATCCACTTTGTCAAGCAACACATTCAGCTGCCCCGCCAGCACCCTCCTTTGCTCTCGTCCATATTCGTTACAAGACTGCAACTTATCCAACTCTAGAAGTCCGTTCATGATTGTCTCCCCCACCCGAAGCTTCTCCTTAGGCTCGGCAACCAATCTGACTTGAAACTCCTCATCACCGAGCCTCTCCTCCATGTCCTGAGCCAGCTTCTGAAGCTCCTTGATTGTGTTCCCCACTTCTGAAAGCTCTGGTGTTGAGTGGAACAACCCTGGTGAGACATCTACCTCTCCTGCACCTGCTTTTGATGGTGTGACTGCTGATGCTGCTTGTGTTCCAACAGCTGTGGCTGCTGGGTTCTTCAACTGATGCTCAGCGAATTCTTGCTTCTGTTGCCTTGCTTGTTCCTGTTTATGCAGCTGCTGGCGCTGCTGCCCCTGTCCCTGATTCCGCTGCTGCTCCTGCAGTATTTTTTCCTCGTGCTGTTGTTGCTGCTGATCGTGCTGCTCCTTCAGCAGTTGATTCCCCTCCTCATGCTGCTGCCGCTGCTGCTTATGCATCTCCTTTTTCTGCCTTTGATGCTGCCATTTTGCTCCAGGCCCTGCTGTTCCTGCCGCCGGCTTCGCTTGCGTCGTCTGCTCCCCTTCTACCGACTGTTCCGCGTCGCCAGCATGCCCTGCGACATCCTCGTGTCGCAGAGCCTCCTCGCGACGCACGTCTTCACGTCGCCCGGGCGACGACCCGAGCAAAGGCGACGTGAGGGGATCCATCGCCGTGCGACGCCACGGCGACATCTTGGCCCATCGCGACGTGTCCATCGCCGTGCGACGGGAATAAGGGAGGGGCGTGCCGCCCGTAGAAGATCCAATCTGGATCGTTCATCCCACCTGATGCTGGATTATTAGAGAAAAAAAGGGGGGTTCGACTTCACAAGTGTTAGATCTTTTAGGGACACTGCCTTAGGAGGGTTGCCATAGGACGTCAAGGCACGAATCAACCTGGGAATCGGGATTTCCCGACGCCGTGAAAGGCACTTCCGATGCACATTCCTGAATGGAATCGTGAAGAAGCATGCAAGAAGCGTGCTCGATTTCCCCGACGAGACCTCGCATCGCGTGCCGCCCGCAAGCACCATTCATCTGAGGTGAGTGCATGCGATTTTAGGTCGTGCCTGAAGGCGCCGCGACATGGGTGCGGACCACGTGGCATCGGTCCTTAGACCGATGCGACTGCGAGTTTTAGGGGTATGGACAGACTGAAAACAAGACTAGATGGCGCGTGGGCTCGGCTTGGAAATGAAACATGGAGAGCCCCGAAAGCGAAAATTCTTCGGTTGAAGCAGATTCGAATCACCAGTGGGCTTCGCACTCGGTGAAACAAATAAAACATTATGACACCAATTCATCTATTATAGTCCTATGCTGAACTTAGCACTTTGAGAATTACATGTAATCAATATGCATATGTTCCAATTTAGATTGCATAACACGAAAATACATTGATACTAGCTACATACATTTTGGCCTGATGCCAAGCCCTAAGGTTCCAGGCTTCAACTCTTGACCTTTCAGGGTGTGACAGGTCACAGTGAGAGAACACTGGCCAGCTCAGCTTGTTGCATCCCCGTCTTGTCATCTACTTTCTGAGGTTCCGCACAGGACACGTATAAAGTAGCCATTGTGCTTTACCAGCTGCAGCACATAATTGCTTGCACTTTCTCAGTCTCACTTCGTAGAATCTTTCTCTCCCTCCTCAGGTGCAGGGAGAGTCAGAGCGTCCACCCGATCCAGCAGTTGGTTCAGTTTCCGAGCCATGTCTCGTCTCAGTGCCCGAACGTCCTGGTTCGTAGACTGAACCCCGTCCAGACGAAACAGCCAGCACATGATCGTCTCTGTCGTCCGAAGCTTCTCCATAGGCTCGGTAACCACCTTGGCTACAAACTCCTTGTCCCCGAGCCTCTCCTCCATCTCCCGAAGCAGCTTCCGAACCTCGACGATAGGCTTGGTCACCTCAAACGGCTTAGAGGATCGCACCTGGTGTCCTCTCCATGCGGACTGAATCGCCAATGCTGCTTGCTCGTCTGTCATACCACTAGAAGTGCTGCTAACAGCAGCAACGTTTAGCGAGGGTTGCTCTGCTGATGGTGCTGCTGGTTCCGATTGTGCTGATGCTGATGGTGCCGGTGCTGGTGCTGGTGCTGGTGCTGTTGCTGATGGTGCTGCTGGTGCTGCTTGTAATGCATCATTTGCTGCTCTTGCGTCAGTCACAGGAATCACCTTCACTGCCACTGGAGCTGAAGACTGCGTTCTCCTGGGAGACCTCGCATTCGTGGGAGGCGTTTTGGGCGATTCTTTGGGAGATGTTTTAGGAGATACTGCTCCTGGCGGTGGTGCTGCGGGCTCGAAGCCGGGCTCCGGGGTTGCGGGATGGTTTGGGGAATTCTCGAAAACGCCCTCGAAAATCGGCTCCAGCTCGGGCATTGACTCGTCGCTGTCGGAATCAGAAAGCGACTCGCTCCAATGCTGCTGCTGCTGCTTCCGCTGCTTTTGCCGGATGCCGTCATTTTGAGCATCCTTCTGCTTCTGCTGCTGCTGCTGCAGCTGCTGCTTCTCTTGCGCATCAATTTGCGCCAAATTTTCCTGCTGCGCGCGCATCTGCGCCAAATACTCTTCCCGCTTCCGCATCTGCGCCTGCTGGAGCGCGACAGCGTGCGCCTGGCGCCGCGCCTCCTCTTTCCGCAACTCCTCCTGTCGGCGCAGCTCCTCCTGTCGGCGCAACTCCGCGGCGTGGCGCAACTCCGCCTGGCGCCGCTGCTGCGCCTGGTAGTGAGCGACGGATCGGGAATCAAACGGGTCTTCGACAAAACCCCCGCCGCGCATCGCGGGGTGATTGCAGTGGCGCGGCGATGCTTCGTGATACCGGGGATAATAAGGAGACTGGAAGCCGGGCATGGAGTGCCTCGGGAAGATCATCTCCGGAAAACCGAAATCCATGATATTATCTCCTCTCTCTATGGAGTAATTCTCGCAGAGCTCTGGGTGCTATACCACAAGAAGTGGAATCTAAAAACGGTTGAAATCGAAAAGCGGAAATGTACGTAGGAGGTCAACCGTGCTCGGGAATGCAGTCCTGGAAAAGTTTAGATGGCGAATTGCTGAAGAAAAGCTTTTGAAGGTTAGTGTCTGTCGCTGGAAGTAACTGAGTTGATTTGAGAATCAGGTAGTGAAGAATTTGCTGCCCCCCTCTCGGCTTTATACTTTCAGGGTTGCGCCACTTTCACCGCGCGCACCGCGCCCGGAAGGCTCGCGCACATTCCATGCGCGCATTCTCGAGATTTCGGGAAGGCGCTAGAAGGCGCGGGAATGCGCGGGAAGGTTCTGGAACGGGGCGGAGCTGAAAGTCTCTCTCTAAGAGAGAGGGTGGGGGGAACTCCGCATAACCGCGTTGGAAGGAAAGTGCCTGCGGCAGGTGTGGTGCTCGCGCAAGGAGAGGTGACGCGGAACGTAGCGGCCCGCGGATGTGCGCGAGTGGCGGGAAAGTGAGGGGGTAACACCGCCGCCTCCGCGACGTCGCGAAGAGAATGTGTATAGCTTCGACAGAAGTTGAAAGACAACAAAATTATTAGCAATTTTACCTTTTTTTTTTTTTTTTTTTTTTTTTTTTTTTACAATTGAAGTACAGGTCTTCAGCCACGGGTTTGAATGTGTAGAAGACGCGAAAAGAAGACATCCCTAGAAATAGCTAGGATTGAAAAATTATCGGGCACTGATATATGCATCTATACCCGCTTCAGCTTCTGCGTAACAGCTTTATCAGCCCAGGTGACGAGCACGCACAACACCACCACCCACACCACTCCTCCAAACAATATCGAAGCATCCCATATCGGATCATCCACCAGGTAACTCCTCAGCTTCAGGTGCTGCCAAAAGCTCTCGGTCCACACAGGATCCACCAGATCCCCATGGCTGCCCGGCCGGGGAGGGACGATGCTCCAATGCGTGTTGTTGAAGACTAGGCGAGGGGAAAGAGCCGGAATGTACCTGAGGGGAAAATGACAGGGGAGAGGAGAGGAGAGGGGCTTGGCTAACACACACAGGATCCACCAGATCCGCATGGCTGCCCGGCCGGGGAGGGACGATGCTCCAATGCGTGCTGTTGAAGACTAGGCGAGGGGAGAGAGCCGGGATATACCTGAAAGAAATCAGCAGGCAGAAGAGGGATAGTGGGAAGAGCGGAGAGTGGGTGGTGGAACACAGGGTCCTGCGGGAATAAACCATATCGGATCATCCACCAAGTAACTCCTCAGCTTCAGGTGCTGCCAAAGTTGGGGGGGCAATTCTCCAATGAGATGTACCTGTCGCAGACAAGTCAGAGGGGACAAGACCGAGATGTACCTGGAATGGGAAAAAACAGCAGGGAACAGCAGTGGGAGGGTCTATGCTCCAACTATTGCTGTTTAATAACAGTCAAAGGGACAAGGCAGGGACACTAACGTTGGGGAGACTAACTTTTTTCTCTGGAGCACCAGAAACTTGGACTCGAAAGGTCTCAAAAATCGCAGCCAAAGAACCCGTCCATGATGCCACTCACGTTGTGGAAGAAAGGAGGCACTCCCCTTTGGCAGTTGCCAGCACTCCCACACACACCTCCCCTGCTGCCCCACACTCCCCATTCTCCACACACTCCTTCCCCATTCCTCCCTTCCCCCCTCCTCCTGCTACACCCTCCTCCCTCATCTCCCTCCCCTCCCTCCCCTCCCCTTCCTTCCCTCTCTCCTCCACTTCCTCCCCTCCCTCCTCCCTTCCTCTTGGCTTTACCGCTGTTGTCTTAGCCAGGAAATTCCAAACAAACCGGGGAGTATCAGCAAGGGTATCGAGAGGAGGAGAGGAGGCGGCGGACGAGGGAGGGGAGGAGGAGGAGGGAGAGATGGACGGAGGCACCCCTAAAAAGACCCCAGCATAGTGACTAGGGGCAGGGTCGCGTGGAGTGAGGAGGGAAGAGGCGAGAGGGCAGAGGAGGCCTGGTGAGGGGGAGAGGAGGCAGAGAACGAGGTTGGATATGAGGGAGGCGTTAACTGATGCTCGGAGGGCGAGTGAGGGAGGGGCTCCGGAGAGGAGGAGGAGGGAGCGGGCGAGGAGGGTGGAGGAGAGAGTGAGGGAGAGAAGGTGGACGGAGGGGAGGGTGTCAAGGTGGCTGTTTAGGTAGGGGTTGGAGATGTGTTGGTTGAAGTCGGAGAGATGAAGAGCAGAGAGGCCTGCATGCTGGGGGAGGGCGAAGGGAGAAAGGGGGAAAGATCGAAAAGCAAGGGAGCACAGGGCAGATAGTTAAGGAAACTGGCAAAGAAGGAGGAAAAGGAGGTGGATGGATGGTGGTGGGGAGGGTGTCGAGATGGCTGTTGAGGTAGGGGTTGGAGACTTGTTGGTTGAAGTCGGAGAGATGGAGAGCAGCAAGACCTGGATGCTGGGGAAGGGAGGCAACAGTATGGGATAAGGGGGGGAGGGGGGGAGGAGGAATAGGGGAAAAAGTGGGCTGGGATGGAGGGGAGGGTGTCGAGGTGACTGTTGGGGCGGGGGTTGGAGACGTGTCGGTTGAAGTCGGAGAGATGAAGGGCAGAGAGGCCTGGATGCTGGATGGGAAAGGGAAAATTGGAAGGGGAAGGGAAGAGGGAGGGGAGGGAGTCGAGGTGACTGTTGGGGCGGGGGTTGGAGACGTGTCGGTTGAAGTCGGAGAGATGAAGGGCAGAGAGGCCTGGATGCTGGATGGGAAAGGGAAAATTGGAAGGGGAAGGGAAGAGGGAGGGGAGGGAGTCGAGGTGACTGTCGGGGTGGGGTTCGGAGACGTGTCGGTTGAAGTCTGAGAGATGAAGGGCAGAGAGGCCTGGATGCTGCGAGAGGAAGGGAACAATACGGGGGCAGGGGGTTGAGGTGACTGTTAGGGTAAGGGCTGGTTGGAGATGTGTCGGTTGAAGTGAGCGAGGGTATTCGAGTGAGGGTGTTCGAGTGAGGGTATTCCAGTGAGGGTATTCAAGTGAGGGTAGTCGAGTGAGGGTAGTCGAGTGAGGGTAGTCGAGTGAGGGTAGTCGAGTGAGGGTAGTCGAGTGAGGGTAGTCGAGTGAGGGTATTCAAGTGAGGGTATTCAAGTGAGGGTATTCAAGTGAGGGTATTCCAGTGGGGGTTGCCTCTAACCACTCAGATACCCTCACTCACCTCAGCCTGCTTTAGAGTCGACTCAAAAGCAGATTCCAGTGGCGGTTGCATCTAACCACTCAGATACCCCCAATCACCTCAGCTGACAGTGCGAGCAGGGATGAGGGAAGGAGACCTGGCATCTCCGCGCTGGCTTCCTCCACACGCACACACCCTCACTAGATCCCTGGCACCAGGTCTTCTATCAACATTCCCGACCACCAGCACTGTCACTCACCTCAGCCGACATTGCAAGCAGTGAGGAGGGCGGAAAACCTGGAGTCTCCTCGCTTGCTTCCTCCACACGCACACCAGCACTCTCCTGCCCCTCCTCTTTATTTCCAGTTTCTTCAAACCACTCAGTGCCATAGCGAGCAAGGAGGAGGGCGGGAGACCACTCAATCACTGTTTCACTCACCTCAGCTGACATAGCGAGCAAGGAGGAGGGCGGAAAACCTGGAGTCTCCTCGCTTGCTTCCTCCACACGCACACCAGCACTCTCCTGCCCCTCCTCTGCTTCCGCTGCTGATGCAGTTTCTCCTTCTCCTTCCACTTGGGGATTCCGTTGGATGGATGCTGCTGCTTCTCTCACTGCCTTTGCCATGGCTGCTGCTCCTGTGGGCTGGGGGATCAGAAGGGGAAGTGCACGGACAGCAGAATGAGAAGCATGTGATAAGAGACGAAAGAATGCTGCTGCTTCTCTCACTGCCTTTGCCATGGCTGCCGCTCCTGTGGGCTGGGGGATCAGAAGGGGAAGTGCATGGACAGCAGAATGAGAAGCATGTGATAAGAGACGAAAGAATGCTGCTGCTTCTCTCACTGCCTTTGCCATGGCTGCCGCTCCTGTGGGCTGGGGGATTAGAAAGGGAAGTGCATGGACAGCAGAATGAGAAGCATGTGATAAGAGACAAAAGAATGCTGCTGCTTCTCTCACTGCCTTTGCCATGGCTGCCGCTCCTGTGGGCTGGGGGATCAGAAGGGGAAGTGCATGGACAGCAGAATGAGAAGCATGTGATAAGAGACGAAAGAATGCTGCTGCTTCTCTCACTGCCTTTGCCATGGCTGCCGCTCCTGTGGGCAGGGGGATCAGGAGGGGAAGGCACAATAATAGAAGGCGCACTTCTCCGCTGCTGATGCAGTTTCTCCTTCTCCTTCCTCCTCGGGATTTTGTTTGATGGATGCTGCTGCTGCTCTCACTGCCTCTGCCATGGCCGCTGTTGCAGTTGGCTGGTGATAAAAGGAGAAGGTGCACGGACAACAGAATCAGGAGCATATGGTATGAGACAATGCTGCTGCTGCTCTTATTGACTCTACAATGGCTGCTGCTGTGTTGAATCAAGTACACAGTGCAAACAACAGGCTGTGCTGTAACACATAATTACATGCAGATGTGATACAGTGTTATGTTATTACATACGCACCATGGGCTTCTCATAATGCATGAACAATGTCACATCCTCCTGAGTCCCATTCCCTCCTGCTCCTGCCATTCCCACCGACCCGACTTCCAGCATCTGTGCCTGATGGGACATATAAGAAATGAAGGGGAAACGACCAAAATGTGATGGCGAGACAAGCAGAAGAGGAGAATAGAGGAGGAAAATATGCTTCGATGTGAGAAAGAAGTAGGTATACATGCAACGATACAAGTAGGAGAAGAGGAAGTGCATCCAGGTCCAAGAGAAGACGACTAAAAGAAGAGCATCAAGGTGCAAGTGAGGTGAGGACGAAAACAACAGCACTAAGGATGAGAATTTGGAAATAAAGGTGCTTCCGAACACACGGAAGGATGGGCGGAAACAGCCAGCCGCTGTTTCCGAACACACATAATTTGGAAATGAAGGTGCTTCCGAACACACATAATTTGGAAATGAAGGTGCTTCCGAACACACATAATTTGGAAATGAAGGTGCTTCCGAACACACATAATTTGGAAATGAAGGTGCTTCCGAACACACATAATTTGGAAATGAAGGTGCTTCCGAACACACATAATTTGGAAATGAAGGTGCTTCCGAACACACATAATTTGGAAATGAAGGTGCTTCCGAACACACATAATTTGGAAATGAAGGTGCTGCAAAACAGCGGAGAGGGAGGTCGCTGATACACACGGAAAGAGAATCGGCGCGTGATACTGAGCGAGTGGCGGAGGAAGAGTTTCAGCGGAGAACCACAGCGGAAAGGGAGGTCGCTGCACTGCAGCGAGATGTGAAGAAACTGCAACTGAGAGCGCCATGCTCGATAGATAAAAAACCCATTGTTTGCAGTTTCTTCACATCTCGCTGCAGTGCAGCGACCTCCCTCTCCGCCGTGGCTCTGAGCTAATACTCTTCCTCTGCCTCTCACTCAATATCCAAGCCGATTCTCTTTGTGTGCACAGGACATTCTACAGCTAAGCGCTCTGTAAAACACGTGCCACACAAAAATAATTCTGATATGTGTAAAGACACATGTGAACATGAGTGTCGAATCATGCCGAGAATATGTGCAAATACCTCTGTGAAGTCTTCAAAAGAAAGCCCCTGCAGCACATCTCTCCCTACTCCTTCCCCCTTGGACCACTTTTCCAGCTCAAACAGCAGTCGCCACGACCCCAGATAGCCCCACCGCTCCCCAGGTAGTAGTACGAATGAACACCTAATGCTATAGCATGCCACACTCAATCGTGCACATACCATACCTGTGTAAAGTCTTCAAAAGAAAGCCCTTGCAGCACATCTCTCCCTACTCCTTCTTCCCCCTTGGACCACTTTTCCAACTCAAACAAGAGACGCCGCGACCCCAGGTAGCCCCATTGCTCGCCGTTTAGAGCAAGGAAGACGAGCTGATGGGAAAAAGTAAACAAGAAAGGAAGCACTTTTATAGACGAATAGAAATCCACCATCTCTCCTGCTCGAACGAACAACAGTCGCCGAGATCCCAGGTAGCCCCATTGCTTGCCGTTTAGAGCAAGGAAGACGAGCTGAGGGAGGAAGATAAAAAGGGGACGTAAGGGGAGGCGATAGAAATAAAGCTCAACAATGGATTCACATGGTCTCTGGTAGCTGGAACTCTCTCTGGTAACTGGAATTCTCTCTGGTAGCTGGAGCTAGAGTGAGGGGTATATTTCACAAACGCAATGCAATTCCATAGAAGTTGCATGTATGCGGTTACATGCTTCAGGGCTCGGATGGTGTATTTCACGTACGTGACTTAGTGCCCAGTAAATAAAACGAATCACACTGAAAGTGGCTCGGGTGGCAATCACATTACGTTTGGATACCTTCTTTGAAATCACTTTTGGGGATTCTCAAAAGCGGTTTCAATCACATTACGAAGGTGCATGAATGCGTTTGGATACCTTCTTTGGACGGATACGTGCTTTGGCATCCGTATCTGCTTTGGTTGGCTACCTGCTACGGATGATTCGGTTGTTTACCTGCTTGGGAAGGTCTGGAGCAGAGGGCTTTCGAAGGAGAGATGCAATGGCGTCTGCTGCTGCTAGCAAACAGATAAGACCCTGAGGGAAGGGATAGGGGCAAGCAAACACACAGTAATCATGGGTTTCAATGGAGAGATGCAATGGCGTGTGCTGCTGCTAGCAAACAGATAAGACCCTGAGGGAAAGGGGGAGAATGAGGGATAGGGGCAAGCAAACACACAGTAATCATGGGTTTCAATGGAGAGATGCAATGGCGTCTGCTGCTGCTAGCAAACAGATAAGACCCTGAGGGAAAGGGGGAGAAAAGGGGGGGACAGGACAGGCCGAGGCAAACATGCATACCTGATGCATCATGATCTGTAGGGATGAGCATGTAGTTCGAGACGAACTGAACGGGATGATATACCTCAGCGGACGAAAAACGCCGCCCAATTTCGCGGTTGAAATGGGACAAGGCTCGACGTGGCGTGCTGTCCTATTTTGTCCGCTGAGATATACTTCTCAGGAATCTCCCAGCCAAACCCGAGGTCGTCAGAATATCGTCAATCCCGAGGGCCCCCGAGGCACCTCGGTCGCCAGTTCGGCCCAATTTGCCATTCGGAGGTCGTCAGGAGCTCGTCAATCCCGAGGGGGGCCCTTGTCCCATTTCAACCGCGAAATTGGGCGGCGTTTTTCGTCCGCTGAGGTATATCACCCCGAACACCTCAGGTGTTTGTCGACGAAAAGGCCGCGACCTAATTTAGGGTCGCGGCCAATTCAATTGTGGCTCATTTTTTAGAGCTGAGCAACCATGTCGCTACCACCAGCCCGCCCAGCCCACTACCACCTGCCACACCCACACCTTCTAGTACTAGCCTAGTGCCTAAATTTCTTTCAACTATGGCGTTTAGGGTTTAGGGTGATTTCGATGCTTTACAATAGTACGTAGCATCTACTCCAAACTCATAAGTTGAAGTAGCGGGATACCATTAGGGTTTCCACCGTCGAAGAGGTTTCACCGTCATGCAGTGTTGTTATCAAGTGTTTTGTCATGCCAAGCCCTCTGAGGCGAACACGAACATGTTCGTGTTCGCCAAAGTGTTCGAAATGTTCGCCTCTCCACGCAAACTTCGAACACCCCTTCTGGCGAAACCTGTTCGGCGAACCGGAGAGTGTTCGGTTCGCCGAACGGCCATGTTCGAGCCAAGGCGAACGCGAACATGTTCGAGTTCGCCTCGTGCTCATCCCTAATGATCTGAGACGACATATAAACTCGCAAGATATGAAGTACCCAAAAAATCTGGAAACTTACCGAAAAGGGAGACTCGGCTCCAACGGCAGTGTCACGGAAGAGCAAGGCAGGCAGCATCCATCTGAGCCATGGCAATGTGACTAACGAGTTGATTCAATAGGCGGAAACTCACGGAAATAGGGGACTCGGCCCCAACGGCAACATCCTTCTGAGCCTTGGCAATTACAGGTATGTTTTGTTTGAGTCGACTCGAATCGAAACAAGACCGAAACAAATCAACTCACGGAAATAGGGGACAGGGCCCCGACAGCAGCGTCACGGAAGAGCGAGGTAGTCAGCATCCGTCTGAGCCATGGCAATCAGAGGTGTGTTTAGAGTCGAAACAGCACAAAACTGAACATTTAACTCACGGAAATGGGAGATTCGGCCCCGACAGCAGCGTCGCGGAACAGCGAGGCAGCATCCATCTTAACTTCAAGAATGCACCTTTACGCATAGGAAGAAACTCACGGAAATAGGGGACTCGGCCCCAACAGCAGCGTCACGAAACAGCGAGGAAGCATCCATCTGAGCCATGGCGATCACCAGCGGCTTCCTGGAAGGTTCCTTGCTTGACACGTCGATGGGAGGTAAAGACGCCATCACGCTGTGATAATGATACGAGCAGAGAAGATGGGTGGCATGGGGTGCGACGGGGTGAGATAGGGTAGGGTGTGACAGGGTGAGATAGGGTCTGGTGCGATGGGGTGAGATGGGGAAGGGTGCAACGGGGTGAGATAGGATACGGTAGGGTGCGATGGGGTGAGATGGGGTAGGGTGTAATGGGGTGAGGTGGGGTAGGGTGTAATGGGGTGAGGTGGGGTAGGGTGTAATGGGGTGAGGTGGGGTAGGGCACGATGGGATGAGATAAGGTAGGGTGCGATGGGGTGAGATGGTATGATCAGAGCAAGAGTGGGTTACCTGTGGCCTCCAAGGGGGAGGCAGGAAAGGTTGTCGAGACATGCCTGCGATGTGGTTGCTCCTATGCGCGTGGCCTGATGTGTTATGGGGGAAATAGGGGAGGGAGAGAGAGGGACGCAAGAGGAGGTAGCAACGAGGGCAAGAGGCAAAAGGGTTGGTGGTCTGATGGTGACGGGAAGATAAGGGGAGAGAGGAGAGTGGAGGGAACAACGAGATGCAAGAGAGGCAACAGAGGTAAGAGTGGCAAGAGTGGCAAGAGTGGCAAGACAGCCACAAGAGTCCCCCAAAGTGTGGTCTAATGGTGGCAGGGAGCTGGTGGCAGGGAGCTGGTGGGACATAAAGACAGAGGAGATCTAAGGAAAGTAACCTGGCCTGAAAATCACATTGTCCCCCTCCCCCGTTTAAAGATTTTTACTACTATTTTTACAGACAACGAAAGATCAACGCACTCACAGTCATGATGGCATCGAATTCAGCCATGTAAAGCGGATAGCGAAAGTCCCGTCGACTGTTGACCTCTGCTTTCTGACCATCACATGGATACCATGTCAGCATTACACCATGCCATCATGCCATCATGCCATCATGCCAGTATGCCATCATGCCACCATGCCATCATGCCACCATGCCACCATGCGTTTTCTAAAGGCTGGTATCAGCTATGTAGCTCTATCGACTTATCGTCGAGGAGGATACACAAGCAGGGAGCGGAAATGACAAGCAGTTAGAGTTTACGATCAGGGCGAAGGGTTATGTGGGGAGAGGGAGGAGGGGGGAGAATGGCAAGCGACCGAGGCACAAGCCGAGGGGGGTTGGGTGGGGTAGCAGACGGTGGGAGGGGGGTGTAGTTCTCACAAGACGTATATCGGCTGTGGCTTGATCGGAGAGGAGGGAGACCGGGAGCGGAAAGGAAACACGATCGAGGGATGAACCGAGGGGGTTCCAGGCGTAGGAGGTGTTGGGGTAGGTGGCAAAGGGGGACTGGGGGAAGGGGGAGGCGGGGGAGAGGGCTGGGAGAAGGGCGCAAGGGGGAACGGACGAAGGGGCAGTGTGAGAGAATCAGGATAAAATGAAGGGACGAGCCGAGGGGGTTCCACGGGTAGGAGGTGTTGGGATAGGCGGCAATGGGGACTGCGGGAAGGGGGAGGAAGGGGAGAGAACTGGGAGGGGAAGGGTTGAAGGGCAAGAGAACAAAGAGAAAGACAGAAGGAACTTGAGTCGCGGTTGTTCCTTTTAGGGGTAGGAGGTGTTGGGTTACAGAATTTTGAGGTGCCTCAAGAGTCATCTTTAAAGGCGCCTCAAAAGGCGATGAAAACGGGATGGATCTATGAATGAGTTTTATCAGTTCAGAGTCAGAGTCTTAGCGGGAGGAACAGATGATTGGTTGGCAGACTCCACCACCATGGTGGATATAAATATTCGATCAAAGGAATGTTTTAGGTGCCTCGAAAATCGTCAGGGTATCACCGGGAACATATGATTGGTTAGCGGATTCCACCATGACGCAGATATAAATATTCGATCAAGTGTACAACATTTGAATGACCAAACAGGAGTCCCTCACCCTATGTAATGATCAAGTACACTGCACTTGAAGATTGGTACAGCAGGAGTCTTACCGGGAACAGATGTTTGATTGGCAGACTCCACCATGATGCCTGCCACGTGTCTGGCAATGACAGGATCTTTGGATATCCTGACAACACGCAACACGCATCAAGTGAAAGCACTTCAGTCTGGCTTCAAGCTTCGAGGGACCATTGGCGAGTGGAGGATAGGGGGTTGAAGGGGTGAACGAACTGCGGTGACTTTTGAGTCGACTCAAAAGTGACCTCGTGAAGCATGGCTGGTGAGAGCAGGAGGGCTCAACTCGAGTGGAGGATAGGGGGTTGAATGAAGGGGTGAACGAACTGCAAGACATCTATCTCTACTCAGAGGCACTTCAGACTGCTCAGAGCTCAGAGGCACTTCAGACTGCTCAGAGCTCAGAGGCACTTCAGAAAGGGGCACTCGTGACATGCTTCAAGCTTAAAGTGAGAGCACGCGGTGCAGCACTGCTTGCAAGACGAGGAGGGCTCGACTTTGAGGCGCCTCAAGAATAGACTCTATACAGAAAACGGGATTCGTGACATGCTTCAAGCTTACAGTGAGAGCACGCGGTGCAGCACTGCTGGCGACACCACGAGTGCTCGAGGCGATTGGAGGAGAGAAAGCTCGGAGGGTGAGGAGATGGCCTGAATCGGACCTGACACAATCTCCCTGCCAGGGTCTGGTTGGGTGGGGAATGATGGGGAGTGGTGGGGAATGGTGAGGAGGGTTGGAAAAAGGTTTGGGAGTAAGAACAAGTAGACAGGGATGGGTTGCGGCGGAGCACTCATATTTCCAGTCAGTCTTTTCCATTGATAACAGCTACAGTACAAGAAAATATCTTCAGTACATAAAAGCTAAAGTAGAAAACTCACTTCCACACCCAATAGGCCCTTCAATCGACAGCAGCCGCACACACGGCCAGTTCGCAGCTTCGGTGTACATGGCTGCCTCCAGGTCCGGCACCGAGGCGAACTGCTGCTGGGCTGCCGAGCCTGGAGAGGCACGGTGAAAGTGGCAAGGGCAGGGCAACAGATAGGAGGACAGAAATTGGGGAAGAACCAAGAAAATAAGTGATAACGGCACGCTGAGACTAGCTCTGCTGAAAGCGTAACTCATAGAAGAAGGTTGAATTCGATACCATTAGCAAGAATGGAATTTGCGCTGGATACAGAAAACTGTGTTTCTTCACAGCGCCGTATTCGCTAATGATCGGTACTAGTAAAGTGCTGGTGACAAGCTACCTTGCAGAGAGACCAGTAAGGCAAGACATAGAACGCTGTGTAACCAGTGGTTACACAGCGTTCTATGTCTTGCCTTACTGGTCCCAAGCTACCTTGCAATGAGTCGGCGAGTGCGCATTTGAGAAGGATGACTGGCAGAAGGGCGAAGAGGTGGTTACACAGCACTCCACGTGTTGAAGGCGAGAAAGCCATTCTTAGCTAACGAATCTGGAGGGACGAGTCACAGCATTCCTACACTTGACTTAGAGCTCGGACGCGGGATGCAGGTATTAGGACGTGTCTCAAATGTGCGGATCTACCTGAGTCCGACACGGACCCGGCGGACCAGCTCTAGAACCACCCAGTGAACCAGCGACGGACTGGTCGAGATGCGGGACTTTTAACCACGTTCGAATTGCACTACAGCGGTGCCATTGATTTGGTCACCAGACCAGCCTGTGCCTAGTCCGTAACTGTAGCAACTCTTTTTCCGTTCGAGACTGTTGCTCCTGACGGGATGGGGAGTTTTTACCAGCAAAAAGTAGGAGGTAACTCGATTTCAACATGAATGATTCGCGTCGTTCGTATTTCCTTTCGCAAATACTGTACAGCCCTTGACGCGATGTATCATGTAGACCACCTCGTGTCTGGTCCACGGCTGGTCCGCGAAGTGGGTCCGTCGTACCAGAATTGCGGACCCGACATGCACAAATTAGCAACGGACCAGGTCGGGGCGGACCAGTGACATGAGACACCTTCTTAGGAGTTGACTCTGCTGCCTGACGTCTTCTAAGGGCGCGTAACTTTTTCGCTTTTCATCGTCCGGACGGAGGCCCCGTCTGGACTTTTGTAGGGTTACTAAAGTCGTCAGAATTCGTCAAAAGGTTCGCAAGACCCCTCGCGACGTCGCGATCGTCCGTACGAGGGATGTCACTTTTCTGTCAGTTCATCGTCCGTTCTACGCTACTGACACCGTCCGGACAGCATTTCGGACCGTCCGGAACCCCTGCAACGTCATTGGTGCGCGAGACACATTTTTCAGAATATTTCCCACTCCAAATTTCATTTTTTTTTTGTGTTGTACTTGTCAACGGGAGCGTTGTAAGGCCCCGTCCTCGCTTGGGCGGAGCCAACCTTGTGGTCGGATATGCGGGGGGGTGCAGCCGACCTACAGCAGTGGGCACGGGGGCCACTGCAAGGGCGCCAAGCTGGAGGGCGCCTAGCTGGAGGGCGCCGAGCAGGAGGACGCCGCCCCGGACGCCTGGTTGGCGTCCCGGATGCCTGGACGGCGTCCTGGGAACCTGGACGCCGAGCTGGGCGTCGCCACGACTACCCGGGTGCCAGGTCGACTTCGTGGGCGCCGGCACGGCCTTGCGGAAGGCCAGATGCCGACCTAGACGTCTGCACGGCGCCCTGGGGTCCGGACGCCGACCTGGGCGTCCCGGGGGGCCCACACACCGACCTGGGCGTCTGGTCGGCGTCCTAGGAGGAGGGACGCCGACCTGGGGGTTCAGAAGGTGTCATGGGCGTCTGGACGCCGGACTGGGGACGTCGGGCATCCGTGGCCGACTACGGACTGCGCTGGTCGGCCAGGCGTGGTTGCCCGGTCGACCGGGATACCCGGGCGACGTGCGCAAGTGTCGCCAGGGTGGAGTCTGCGATGCCGACCTCGGGGGTGGTATCCCGAGGTCGACGTGGCTGGTGGGCACAGTCACTGGCGTGGAGTCTGCCAGGCGCCTGCGCTGTGCACGTGACAGGGAAGTGTGCACCAACCAGCTGCGCGCACCTGCGAAGCAGGTGCACCGTTGTCCTGCGGGTGCAACGCTGTGCAGCCGACTTGCTGCAGCGCTGACACACCGTGGACTTGCAACGTTGGCGAACCGCTACTCTGCAACGCTGGAGCGGTGCGAGCGCTGCTGCGCTGGAGCGCGGTCGACCGTGCTGCGCTCGAGGTCGACCAGCAGCCTAGCTAGCACTGATGTAGTATGTGATGCCAATGTTGTTGCTACCATTATTGACATGTTTTCCTATTGAAACTCTTGCCAATTCTCCCCGTGAACTAGCAAGCAGCGTGAACACAAGGAAACGACCAAGTGAACGAACGAAGAGATCACACGAGCACACGTGCCTAGCCCGTAGCCTAGCTCCCGTTGCAACAGTTATCTCCGCATGGTGCGGTGAGCGTGGACGACACCGCGACGTAGTTCAGTCTAGCCGACTTCGCACTTACCGATCGTGTTCGTAGATCGGCAGCCGTGCAGCCACTAGCGTGCGCGTAGGCGACGCCGAGGTGATGGACACCCTGGAGGGACGGCTGGAGGATGCGAGGAGACGCCATGAGGCACAGGAGTATGGGGCGATACCCTGGGCAGTCGTCGAAGCCGGACTCCGCTCCGTGTGGGTTGCGGAGCACCCCCCTTCTCGACCTGCCTCTCCTCGACCGGTGAACAACGACGGCGGCGTCGACGTGGGCGTCAACGCCGGTGGAGGTCAGGTCGGCAGCAGTGCGGGAGGCACGTCGAGGCATCGAGGTGTGATACACGCCGGTGAAGTCGGCGGCGTTCAGGCGCGAGGGATGCAGTCGTCGGCGGCTGCAGGCTCTTCACAGGGTGACGTCGGAGGTCGACCGAGTGGGCTGTTGCCGATGTCGGCGTCCCAGGTGACGGCAGGTAGGATTGCGCCGAGCTACGGCTACTTCAAGTTTACGCCGGACATGATCTCAGTCACCCCTCCACTGGTCGGTCGACCCGACATTCTCACCTGGAAGGAAGCTATCGAGCCCTAGCTGGAGATGGCCGGACTGATCGGCTTCGCCCTAGGGACTGCGGCGACGCCGGATGAGCACCACCCCGACTTGCGGGCGGAGTTTCGCGCCGTGCAGCTGTTGACCTTCACGGTCATCTCGCGGTGCTGCTCGCCGGGCGTGCAAATCGCCTTGAAGTGGTGCCGGGAGTACCTTGACGCCGGCCACCGGGCATGGCACTTCATCGAGTCGACCTACCAGGTCACCGACGACCTGTTCATCGCCCAGCTGGAGGGACAACTGGCGCACCTGCGTATAGGTGACGAGGAGACGGCGACCGACTACTGCAACCGGGCACGGCGAATTCTCGCCACCATCAGGATGGCCGGCGCGCAGTACTCCACGGCGTCGTACATCATCCATGTCATGCAGGGACTCTCGAGCAGCTACAACCTCTTGAAGCGGCTGTCCATGGCGCCAAGCACGAGGGCGACACTCAACGAGGACAACCTGACCTCGTACATCCTGCAGGACGAGGCGATGCAGGAGGCTGAGCGGTCACAGGAACTCTTGGCGCAGGCCAACTTCGTCGCCCCGGCGAAGCAAGGAGGCCGACCAGGACAGCGTGGGCAGTTGGGCGGCGGCAGTAGCAGTGGCTGGAAGCCGAGCAAGGACGCGGACAAGAAGAAGTCGGCTAAGGATAGTGGTCGTGGAGGCAGAGGCCGACGTCGGGAATGCTGGCTTTGCGGCGACCCCGACCACCTCTCCTTCGAGTGCCCCGACCGCAGTGACTCCGATGACGACGACGCCAAGGGAGGCCGAGGAATGTCTGGCAGCCGTCGTCCTCGTCAAGGTGGAAGCAAGCCGCGCAAGGAGAAGCAGTCGACCAAGACGTCGACTTCGGCGAAGGACGCCGACTCCCCTGCTGGCGGCAAGGCGCGGGACGACAAGACGGCGTCGTGCTCGCTGGTCGGCGTCGTGGAGCCGACCGTCTCGCTGGCGCCGGAGGCCGGAGAGGACTTCGAGGCGGTGGCGGCAGCTGTGCAGGCGAACCCGGCGGTGGTCCTGCTCGACAGCGGTTGCTCCCACCACCTGATGGGGACGAAGGAAGCCTTCGTCGACCTGCAGCCGAGCGGCGCCATCAGGCATGTGCGCGGCTTCAATGGGGCGCTGCAGGACGTCCAGGGCCGTGGCACCGCCGCTCTGCAAGGGGAGGCCGGGAAGCAGGTGCTCATCCCCGACGTGCTGTACGTCCCGGGTGTGCGGGCAAACCTGCTTTCAGCCGGCCAGCTGAAGGAGCACGGCGTGAAGCTGCAGGAGGAAAGCAACGGGATGCTGCTCGTCTCGGCAGCAGAGGAGGTGCTCGGTCGGGCGACGTACACCAGGCGTGTCCTCTGCACCGATCTGCGCCCCTGCTCTGCCACGCCGACAAAGCATACCACGGAGGTAGTGGCCCTGCGCGCGATCGTCTCGGCGACGAAGGCATCGCCGAACAGGATGCACGCAAGGCTTGCGCACGTCGGCATGGACACCATCAGGAACTCGGCGAAGAACGAGGTCGCCATTGGGCTGGACCTCAAGTCGGCGACGGGCGCCGACTCACCGTGTGTCTCGTGCGTCGGCGGGAAGCTGGCGCGGCACACCTTCCCCGACCAAGGCTCCGACGCCGACGACGTGCTGGCCGTCGTGCACATCGACCTGTGCGGGCCGTTTCGCGTGGCTGCCAAGGATGGCAGCCTGTACTTCTTGTTGCTGAAGGACCGCAAGACCCGCTACGTGTGGGTGAAGCCGATCGCCAAGAAGTCGGATGCGTTGCCGGTGTTCGTGCAGCGGCTGGCGGTGGCTGAGCGGCTGACGAGGAAGTCGGTGTTGATGCTGCGCTCTGACCGGGGAGGGGAGTTCCTCGGGAACCAGTTCACCAACTTCGTGAACAGCAAGGGGATCGTCCACGACCTGACCTGCCCATACACCCCGCAGCAGAACGGCATGGCGGAGCGGGAGATGCGGACGGTGGTGGAGTCGGTGCGGACGATGCTGCTGCACATGGGCGTGCAGCACCACTGGTGGCACCTCGCTCTCCGGCAGGCCGTCTGGGTCCGTAACTGCCTTGAGAGGTCGGCGCTGCCGCCGGGGACAACGCCGTACCAACTGCTGACCGGAAAGAAGCCCGACTTGTCGCTGGCGCGGGTGTGGGGCTGCATGGCACAGTTCTTAGTCCCCGAGCAGCAGCGTGGTGGGAATCTGTAGCCGAAGGCACGGTGGGGCCTTCCCCTCGGCGTGTCGGAGGAGAGCAAGGGCTGGGAGCTC